TTATAATATCATTAAAATGATAGGCGGCCGTTAATATTTGCGACTATCGCGTGAAACGTTTTCAATGTGCACATACAATATGTGTGTGGACTGTCGTGGTGAGTGAGAGAGAGAAGGGAAGAGAATGCGAGAGAATTCCGAATTCCATTGTAGTGCAAGCACAAAAGTGTGTAAAACGTCGCGATTTAATAATATATATTATTTACTGTAATGTAATATAAAATATTTCGCTCTGAATACACAGCCATTCGAATATTACTTTATAATAACACTGCGGCCACCTCGTTCTCGTACATAACGTGTAAACGTCGCGCGGCAGTGAGGTCGGTAAACGTATTGAATTACCCGATATCTGCAAAATTATCATTGCTTTGAAATTATGTACGGTCGTGACCTGTTACCTGGTTAGCACCACTTTATAATCGGATATAATGTGGCAGAAATCGTTCGCACGATCACAATATTATGTAAATCGTATAAATCGTTTTTGTTTCCTATTTTAGATACATAAATATACAATATACTTATTATTACATATTATACGTGTAACACTTTTTTTTATACATAAAGAGGTTACCCGTACAAGAAGTTCAGAACAGATATTAATAAAATCGGTTTTTTAAATCATATATCATTATACACTATTGTTTGTCAAATTTTATTTAGAATAAAATATAATTAGCTTGTTATTATTATTATACTTCAGAAATCGTATCGAAAAGCAATCAATAGGTACATTTTTAACATTCGATGTGTTATATACCTATAAACACACACAATGGAAACAACATAATATTCTATTTCATTCTTACAACTACTACAACAATAATAATTAATGACCGAGTAATTTCAATATGGCAGTCCACATATCTTCGCGATGATTTTTTTTTCTTTCATAATGACGAAAATATTTTCTATACACGTATACATATTTTATAACAAGCAACAATAATTAATTTCATTCGGCTCAGCAAACATCATTAATACTAGTCTATGACGACGACGAGACGATAATAATATTATTACGGTTTAATAATAAAAGATTTTCATGTTCATTAGAGTATTCGTTTTGTGGGCATGTCCCAAGCTTAGAAACGTATAATGACTAAGGATATTTCGTCTTTTCTTTTGTACCTACACTACCACATCGTCTATTTTGTGTGTTTGTGTGTGTGTGTGTGTGTGTGTGTGTGTGTGTGTGTGTGTGTTATAATATTATATTATTATGTATACAAATGCATTTATTTATTATTACTATTATTACTATTATTGTTGTTGTTGTTATTCCTTTGTATGCCGTTTCTCGGTGTTCAGTGGTTAAACGACGGAAAACATACTGACGAAATCTCCAAAGGGATCGTTAACTACGGCCAATGCAATGACCGCGGGTCACTCGAAAAGTCCTAAGTACACTATTATCGAACGATGCAAACATTACACGCTGTAAGTCTGCACGAATAATATTAATAATAATAATGTATATTTATTACCTATTATGCATTAAATAATATTATAAGCCGTAAGATGTGGGTAGGTATAATGATACAAACAAAAATTGTGTTCGATTCATCGTCGTTGTCGACTAACGGTTGAATTGTAATCCTAGTCAATCGTGTTTCGAAGCTAATAACGCACCGAGAAGCTTTGCCAGAAACCGAATTGACCTTTAGCGGCAATAAAAACTCGATTTTACATTGTATGACCTTTTCGCTTACGCTGACATTTTGATTCGTGCCCTGTTATTTATTAAATTTCACTACGTTTCAGTGTTCCTCTGTCACCCTCTCCCCCGCCCTCTCACACAGCCGTATGTTTATCATCGAATAAAATCTAATTAATATTTTTTCGAACTTAAACGGTCGAGGTTAATGGACAAAAAGAAAATGTGATCAAACACTATAGTCTACTGCAGTAGGTAATAATGACCACCGGCACCAGGATTCGTAATTCAACCCGTCTTCTGATTCGTATTTTTAATGATAGGTATAATAATTATAGCTTAGGATTATTTAAAACTCAACTAATGATCTGATAATGCGATGCGACGTGACTACGAGCACACATATATTTATACATATAATGATTTAGAAGGTTTTCGTGATGGCCGCCGGGCTTATAAATACAAAGCTGAAAATTTTAAACAGACAATTTTTTTTCAGGAACTAAAATAGTGATTACACAGAATACAAATAAATTATTGTTATTCGTTAATTATCATGGGTTATGATTTGTGGACCCAACTCGCCGCATTCAAATTTAGGCAGGCATATAATAAAATACTTGAAACCAATCCTGAGATACGATTATTACTAGAACATAAACGTCCATTTCTACCAAAAAAAAAAAAAAAAATTAATTAATAACGGCGGCGGCATAAACAAAATCATAATTAGTGAAATAGCTCTCACGAACGTGGGGAGAGCGTTGGCGCGTGCGTGTGTATTTTATTCTCATACAAGTTTTGAAACACTGCCAGAGAACAATATTATTAATCAAAATGAAAAAAAAAATAAATAATAAAATAACTGATCATTTGGAAATGTTTCGTGTTCTAAAGTTAGACCGATGCGTCATATCATTTAAACGGACACAGCTACGAACGGTACGAATATTCACCTAATGCATTTTCCCACATTGTCAGCGGCTGTTGTTTTATTATCGTTATTGGTGTTATTAACGACACCGTTATAGTGAAAATTATTATGGGTCCAGATGAATGTCCGGTTTCCATCAATATCCGACGACGGTTTATAGCGATTATACCTACGAGCATTAATGTATTTCAAAACATTCGTTTTCCGAACAGAATAATACGTAATACCAATAAACTGTACATATTATAATAATATATAAATATTTAAAAAAATACTGCCGCCGCCAGCCGTCTTCTTTGTAGTTCGGTAATCATGCTCGTCCGTGCAATAACCGTGTGCACGAGGAGAGGAATAAATCGAACTGTAGACAAATCAAAAACGAAAACGAAAAAAGCTTTTACCGTCACTAATAGTCGGTCGGCCATGACAATAATTTATATAGTATATGATATATATATATGTTTTAGGTACACTGAAACAATGGAAATCGATAATGAGCGTACAAAATTAGTGCAAACGAATTAATATCACCTGGCACTCATAGTGCAGACATATAGGTACAACGCGGTGTTGCCATGCGGTCGATTTTACTGGTCAAGGTTGGTCTCGAGCTCGAAGTGCATTTTATCGCCAACAGGTGTTATAAGTGTTTAATGTCGTCGTAGTGACCGCGTCAAGTGCAACTATTATCAACGTCTTCTGCCCTACAAACCTATCGTATACGGAAATAACTGAACGACACGATATATTATCATTTATCATAAATCCACAAGTGTATATTGATATAGATTTTTGAAAAATAATATCTTGTACGAAGAGATCTTTGGTTTTATTTCGTTATCGTTTCTCATTTTGCTTATATACGCCTGGTATTGACATTTTGTCCTCAAGTTTAAGACGTTATAACTGCAGTGCACCGAGTGTCGAGCGTATCGGTCCCAGGAGAAATTAGCCTTTTCAAAGGATAATAAAATAACTTATCAATACCATTTATCATACACCAGCTACCGTTGTCGTACTACATGATAATATATATAGGCACATTCGATAATCGACGATCGGCCAAAAACTACAAGCCTAGGCGCGGTCCTACATACATATAACATAATAATCGGGGTTTAGACCCGACATAATGGTGAGAGGGTATATAATAATAGTAATAATAATAACACTGCCGAACACGGTCGTCGTCGTCGACCCGAGATTACACATCTGGTGCTCAGTAATTTCCACTAAACATAACCAGTTTTTTTCTCCTCCTTACAACGTTAGCCTTCTCACTGCCTCTTTTATAAATAATAATAATAATAAAAAAAAATAATAATAACACTGTTTCCAGTGCGTCGACTAAGTATAGACCATAGACGTAGCCACGTATATCCACATACTATATATACGTGTTTCCGGAAAAACTAATCGTTGTCAGGGAAAATTAAAATACAGAAAAAAACATAAAAACGCGTTTGAATTTTTTATTTTTACTATACTATCGAATTACTGTAATATTACTAAAAACCACTTTATTACGCGTTCAGTACACACACACGCACACTCACACACACACGTGTATTTTGTATAGGTTTATTTAATACAATTTACTAGCGAGAAAGTTATTAGAAATTAGAATACTATTCCGGTTACGAAATAGCGGTATACTATGTTTATAAGGTATATTATGCTTATATTCCGATGAAATTAATTAATAGTGAATTAAAGAATTAACACCATGCCCAACATCTTTCAGTGACCGCGGTCCAATCATGATAATATGTACCTGCATTGATTTCTATGTACAAGTGGATCTCGATAAATATATTGATTTTTGTTGTACAGCTGTTGTTGTCTCTTGATTATTTTCTATATTCGTGTCGAGTTGGTTGACCTCATTTTCAGTGGGCTTATGTTTAACCTCAACATTTTTCTATCCGTATAGTGTTTTTTTCTTCTTGTCGACTAGCACAGCGCTTATGAACTGACCGTCAATCGAACAGTTTATTAAATAATAAATACCAATAAAAATATTCCAGATACCGTGACGTCTGTAACTACTTGTACCTAAGTATAATAGTTCGATCGAAACATTGACGATGTAAAAACGCCTTTTGAAACAATATCCATGAATTTTTTTCTAATCGTTCCACATCGTATAATAGTAGAACTTAGGGAGTGCGGACAATCCGTGATTTAATCAACAACTTTCCGACCAGCATCCATAGTTTCATTTTCTCAATTTAAAGATTCATGAACATTAATAATTAAATAGTATACCTAGGTAATATATTATAAGAACACGTACACTGAAATATGCGTGTGAATACTATTTTTTTCTTCAGACCATTATTATTAATACGTCCTTGGTTACAGTAACAATATTATTTAACACATAGTAAGCTTAAACTATATACCTTGTATATATCCCCAAAAATAGGATGCACTCAATGACTTAGTTACTTAGTACTTATATTACTCAGCAGGTACCCATATACGTATCTTTGAATTCTGTTTGTGGTACACGAAACTAGACTGTTGGATCATACATTTTTTAACTCTTGTATGTGAACTTTGAACAACTTGACTTTTTCATGTACACTGTTCTGGCGGACATACGGTATGTAAAAATTAAGTGCGATAATTTTCATACCTCATAATACAGATTGATAGTATTTAAGGTATCTAAATAACTCGATTGAAGAAAATGGGTTGCGAGGAAAAGAATTTCGCTGTGTCGGCCGGAGGATACTGTTTCTTTTTTTTCTACATAGTTGGAGGTTGCGGCATTCAGTTGGCTTATGTTTTATTGAGAGAGTAAGTTGTTCGCCGCAGGTGCAACATGAAGGAGGTTCCTCCCGTGACATCAGGTGACCGTGAGTTATAGATGTATGTCTGTGTCAGTTTATATAATTGTCTCTTGGTCTTCTGGTGAAATCTTTAGGGTGGGAGAGGGGCATGGTATGATTGACCTTTCGGTTTCGATTAAATACTGCTGTTCATACTTTCCGCGATTTTAAACCGTATATAACAATTAATAGAAACATAACAGTAAATAAAATAGTAAACCTATAAATATACTATTACAAAATGCACTTGCACGCATGTGAAAATAAGAGAGATAAGAGTCCAGACGTCAAATCGTCAGAGAACATTTTGACAAAATTGTACAAAAAAAATTATAACGCCGATAAGAGCTGTGTAAAATGATTTTCCTCCAGTCTCTGGTTTGAGTATGGAATATTGTTCGTTGAACAAGTTTTAAATTACACGCTACGTACGCCCAATTAACGGTTGCCGTGATCATGTGAGATTTAATCAACCACTCGTGCATTTCGTTCGAGCGATGGTGTTACGCAATAATGTTATTGGCCCGGCGCGGATCGGTGGCGTTCAGGATCAGGATGTGAATTGAATATTTTCGCTTCTTATATTTCCCCCCTCCCTTTATTTTTTCGCGTCTTGCGTTATCGCCGTTTGTTCGCGATGATTGATGATTAGAAGTGCAAATTGATTTTTCGTATTTTTGCCAAATAAGAAAAGCATAGTACCATCAATATAATATTTTTGTATAGTGCTCTTTTCAAAGTATTCGTATTATTTTTCATCATAACTGCATAGACATCATTTCCCTGTCGCTTTTCGAATAATATACTTTACATACTTGAGTTTCATAAATAATACCCGAGCAGACATTAAATATTTCCTTGTCAAATACACTTTATCAAAACTGAACCACAAATATCATAAAATTTGAATGAATAATAAAGATGAAAAAAAACTCATACCCGTAATATATTATTATTATTTTTATTTATATTTTTTGAAATTGAGAATTTTAAATTTCGAATGCTCTGTGTATTATTACTTGGACACGTAATAAATTACATACATATATAGCTATTATCTCCCGCGATCTCATTTTTTATATACATTTTGTTAGTTTCAAACCATCATCTCTTATGAATTTTATATGAGGTTTACATAAATAATTAATTCAACGATAATACTGCTACTAGTCTGTGTCAAACGACTTGCTCGCGTGGAAAGAATTTACATATGAATAATGAATGGATTTACAACCAAATTTCGTAATGCATTCATTTTCATAATAGTTTTAAACTTGTATACATTTTTTTTCCCATAAAATTACACGAATTTCACTAAATTAATTTACTAATTTAAATCTCCAAAAACTAATAATAAAAAACCCAAGTACGAAACATGCTGCAGTGTATTATTATAATAATATTGTAGATCGTTCGAAATGTCACCGAACATATTTCATTTGTATAACTCGTTCCCGCCAGCAATTACGGAATTCTTTCTGTAATGACGTATAATGGGAACTTGTGTGAAAATTGAACTATGCTAAATACCATATTTCAAGCGTACCAAATATTTCGAAACAACTAACGGGTTAGCGATTTCAGTGCAAACGACAGCAAGGGGTAGAGGAAAAAGTTATTATTGTGTTTTTCGAGCCATGAATTATATTATAAAGTCGTTATTTTTCTAAAACACAAAATTCATATTACACATTCCTCGTCCGTTCGCCGGTCGTCGGTGTCGGCGGTGTTGGTGGTGGTGGTGGCGGTGGTGGTATGGCGAGGGGAGGGTGGATATGGGAAAGAACATAAATCTGTTTTATGGGCACTGTTTTACTCACCCCTGCCGCCCGTTTTTTTAACAACCCCTGTACAGTTACGTTTGCTTCAGTGGCCGGAGAGAGCTTTTTCCATTATTTTTATTGTTGTTATTTTATTACCGTTTTTCGGTTCGTAACGTCACATAATCTAAACGAACCTTTTCGATTAATAATCACCACTCTAGTGTTTTATTTTAAACATTAAATTAAGTTTGAACAAACGCGGTTGCCAATGTTTTTTTTTCTCGAAAATCGTAATAAATTAGTCGCGGAAATGTTTTGGTGTCGTGAAAACGACGATATCGTCACTGCAATGGGTTATGTATTTATAATTTATATTATATTATACATGTGTTTGTTATTATTTACACGTAAAGAGTTAGTTAATTGTACGAAATTGTGTGTTCATAGTAGAATTCATTATTATACGATAGCAAATTAATTACACTTTAAATAGGTCAATGAAATACACATACATACAAACACAATTTATTTAGATTCATAAAGTCTGTCGGGCAGTTTTAATTGAAAACTAGGCTACGAATAAAACCTTTTAGTGAGAAGTATATGTATACGTGGCGAAAATCATTTTGTACTGTGTTCTGTTTTATTTTTTATTACTTAACTAATTAACGATTGTATTTTTACGTTTTAGAGGTTTTTATTGTGTTATCAAAAAACTAATACAAAGTTGTATAAAATTCTCCATACGACCCTGTCTGAATTCACAGTACATTTGAGCACAAGGTCAAACGCCTTAGTCATAATCGTTATACTTATTGTAACGAAATATGCATGTGTAATTTACATGGAAAACATCCAATGATTTGTGAGGATTATAGCAATGTTAGGAAGACATAACAAGTTATCATTTTCAACAACGTAGATATTATATTGTACTCCCTGCAAACCAAATCAAAAATCTATAATTTTCGATGATTTTACCCATTACATAAAAACTTTGTCGATTGGTTTTGGCTCGGCATTTTCATTATTCGTATGTATGTATATTTTTTTTTGTTATCATGAACCATGTTACACCTCAAAGCATATTTTTGTAGTGACCGGATACAAAAAAAAATATTAAATAAATAAAAAACTGTATCGAAAACATTTAACTTTAGGATTTTTGTATTTTTTCATCGACAATATCGATCGGTAAGATATTACGGAAACGGGAAAACTATACGTAATGGTATGCCTAATACCTTTGTCTCATCCGAGTCGGATTCGGTTACACGGTTTAGTCACAGTTTTGTCTTGTTGGAAAGAGGAAAAAACAGACTGAAAAAATGTATTATATTCCATTTCTAATGTTATTTTGTAGTCATGTTAAAAAAAAAAATTATATTTTCCTTTTATTTCCAGAGCAGTCACATTCTACATTGCGATTGTGACTAATTTACGTTTCAACGATCATGGATGAGAAAATAATTATGCAACCAAAGAAGTCAAAACTATCGGAAAGGGGTGACGTAACGGGAAATAAAATACATTTTCTGCACCAATGTCGCAAGATTACGTCATCTCCAATTATATGCAATATGTGCTAAAAATGTTTGACGAGATATAATAATATCCTAAAATCATGCCATCAGACTTCATAAAATATCTTAAGTTAATTTATCACTAGCAGAAATGTATAACGCTGGTAGTTCACAAGATTTTAACAAAAATGTTACACATCTAGCCATTTGATATTCATAAGTATCCGCACATACATCATTTGATATGCAAAAATAACCAATATAATAACGGTCGTGGTAATTACCCCTTTCGAAATAGTATATATAACCGTACGTACAACGTATACCACGGCCGTCGAATTTATACCGCGGTCGAAGTAACCGCCGACCACACGGTTTACGGAATTACGCTATTGAGTAACCACGATATTGGTCGACTTCGTTGACCAGTCATAGACAGCGTAGCCACCGACTAATTTTATTTGTTCCAAGTCCGTCTTCCGATTATCGAAGATGAGTCTCGTCCAGACCTCTGTTTTCTCATCATCGTTTGCGAGTGCTTATAAAGAGTTGGCCATCGAGACGACATTCCGGCGAAACGAGTCTTGGCGAGCCTCGTCACTTTCGTCCGACGTAATGCGCAAAGGTCAAGGTCGTGCTGAGACGCACATCAGTCATCCACGTACTATTCACAGGATCCTCGTATCATAGTGTACAACCGTTATTTAAAACTGTTTATGTAGCCACACATAAAGCAGTGTATATACTATATAATTATATATATATATGTTTGCATAAAATCCGTATAAAATATTCGTGTGATAACAGCAGCAGTATAGGCTAAAAAAGATGATGCAACGGGCCACGTAAATTTTAGATACATATCTAAACACTATGATGTATAGACTATGCTGATGTAATAAATATATATTGCGTAGGTATGCAGTTTAACATTTTAGAGACAAAACGCATATTTGTATGTTGAATTTTAGAAATAACGAATTAGTCTTCTATTATAGTGATAGTATTTGGTCGATACTAAAAATGTCACTGATTGAATATTTAAATATAAAATAAAATAAAAACATTATTATAATTTAACAGGCTTCGTATGCAATTTTATACATAACTCGCTAAATATTCTTCTCTTTTACGTACACTCAATAAAAATAAATATAAGAAAAAAAATCGAAAAGACATTTTATTAGATTTCAAAGCGAAATTATTATCTCATCCACGCACGTTTAAAATGCATTTCCCATTCGAAGGTAACTTGTTTAATGTTCAATTTCCTTTAACAGAGTATTCACCAAACAAACTCTATTTTCCGAGAAAACCATTAGGTTTGTGCCTACATATAAAATGGTCGAATGCGTATATTTATTAAATCCAATATATAGTAAGGCAATTGTTTCCTTTTTTTAAATAAATGTAATATCATAATGACTTATAGTACATATTACGTAGTGCGATTAAACGTAGTATAATATTTCTGATTATATTGACATTGCGAGTTGTTTTGCAGGCCGAAACAGTAGTAATAGAATGCAAATAATAATAATGTAATCTCTCGTCCAGGACCCTTGTTGTTATTGAGATAACCTTCTCAGACAAATATAATATAAATACCTAATATACTTCTGTGATTTAAATATTTTAATTTCTATGTAATCATATCACATTCCAGTATAGTTTTGCATACAGTCTCAAGTCCTGTATCCTCAGCGGACAGTCGTGGTTGGATAGAAAACAAATAATGCCATGACATTGTCTCGTGCGAATCGTCCATTATGTCATGGATGATAGAAGGTAACGGATACCGATGAGAAATCCAATACCACAGTAACAAGACCGTAGTCAATATAATCATCGCACTTTTTTTTTTTTTTTTAGATTATAACAATAATGACATTATCGTTTAACCTTTAATCGGTTGTATCAATGCTATGCTCAAGTCGGGGCAGATCCAATGTTTACCAGCGGCTGCAGTTGCGGTTGTGGCGCGTCGTCGGTGCAGTGTGGCGGCGTGCAGTGGCCGGTCCGACGATAAAACGTCATCATAATAATATGATATTGTAATAATATGTTTAGTGAACTTTCTCCTCGGCTATCGCCTACGCGACACGACGACGGCGGCGAGTCCTTGACTCTGCGTGTTCCATTTCCATTTAATATTATAACATAATAATATCATCCGCATTGTGTGTAGACGCATGCACCGCGATACACGATGATGCGATGATAATGTTATGCATAATAATATGCACCTCTCTTGACCGAGTAATACACATGCGGCGGCAGACGTCTAGACGCGGTACATATAGTACGTAAAGCGTTGTGTACACGTTTGTGTAAACATCGGAAACAATATCGATAGTAATTTTTTGCCGCGACCATACACCGGAAATATACTACAGTAATAATAAGCTCATATATAGGCACAGTAATAATATTATTGTTTGATAATTGTTGTGTTCGGGTTCATAGAAACGACGAAAACGATTCGAATTTCCCTTCGCTGCGTCCGTTTACAGGTTATATCATATCATTCTCTTCGCGTTTCTGTCGGAAGCGGACAATACGTATACCATAAGATGATCGCGTACAATATATATAGTTTTATCGCGCGCCCGTAATATACGTGTTTTAAACGCCACGCAGATATCTAAAACTGGATCTGAACTTTCTGTTATCTTTCCAAAAGCCCGAGAGAGCTTAACGGGATTAAGACGGTTATGTGTTTGTTTGCCAGTTGTGCTTGCGCCATCCATGCACGCGATTTATATACATACACATACGTATACATTATTCGAGCGTGTGTACACGGCAATGTTTGTCCGTGTGTGTGAAACAAGCATAATCGGAGTAAACATTTATAATGAGATAAACCGGGCGAGAGGACGCGAAAACTTTTGGGCCCTTTGACAAGAAGAACGGAATTTATGACATAATTAATGTTGGCCGTTTCACATACCTATACCTACCTATAGTGTAAAGACGTCGGGCTCGCCGCAGAAATCGCCGTGCCTCATTGCGTCTGGAAAATAATATTAAATGTATCACGCGTCACCGTGGCAATAATAATAATGATGATATTTCGTTTTAGCTGCGTAAGGTTTGCCAAGATCGGCCGTCGACGCGTAATAAAACGGCATTATTATCATTCGTATAGTATCTTATCGTTTTGAAAATTGGTACCGAGATCGTATATGGGGTCGTTTCCAAAGATGAGCGCCGAAGAAAACTCGGTCCCACAGAGGTTTCTACAGTTCTATTATTCGATTTTAGGTAGGTGTGTACTGCAGTATAAACCAGGTCGGATGTACGTTTAAAATCTATCCATATTATTGAAAAATTCGTTTGATCAAATGACGTGTAAATATTATGTATAATACAAGTTTCTGCGTGTATCCCAAGCATTTGAGTCTTGTTTAGCAACTGGAATGAAATGTGAAAATAATTGTAGATATCATTCTGCCGAGTACCTGTACCGGACTCGAAACACCCTCAGAAGGAGATACGTAAGGACGAAATCCTCGTTAATTAACCCGACTATAATGTGTTTGCAGCTGGTCTGAGCGGCGTGGTGATCGGCACTGCGTTTGCATGGAACTCGGCGGCCGCGAGACTGACGCGAACGTCCGGAAACGATTACGCAGTGAACCTCGAGATGACCGACTCCGGTTGGTACTTGAACGCGGTCGCGTGCTACTTCCTGGGGACCACAGCCGGTGCACTGGTCTTGGGTCCGGTGACTAGGAATATCGGCTACCGATGGTCGGTGGTCGGGTGCGACATGGTCGTGTTGGTCGGCTGGCTGTTGATGTCACAGGTGAACTTGGTGCCCGTCTGGGCCATCCGGCTCGGGCACGGCATCGGTACTGGAGGCCTGGGGTTGCTGACACCCTCGTACATCGCGCACATCACTGACTTCAGCATGCGGGGTGAGAACTTATGCCGAAATTACTCATCGGGTTTGGTCGGTTGAGATATGGGCATGACGTGAAATTCCATAAGTGTAATCATTATGACATTTCCGAAATGTAATTATGGTATACTAATAGAATATTATACACATTACACATGCACATTTTCCGCATGCACGATAAGTATAAATATTAAAGACAAATCTATAAGTCAGGGGAATTTTTTTTAGTCATTGCCCTATATATGAACCAAAAATTTTTTTTGAATTTCTTGAATGCGCCATCCACACTATTCGTCCCGAAATTCGTTATTATTTAATAGTGTGTCGTGTGTATACCGCGAGTATTATACATGACAATTTTGTGTTTGACCTAGGTCGGGCACTGGTCTTTCATCACGCGTTCGTGTGTTTCGGAGTGTTCTACGCGCACTCGCTCAGCGCCATCGTCACAAACGCCCAGTTGACGGGCTTGTGCATGGTGTGGCCCGCCTTGCACATATTCATCTCGGTTTTCATGCCCGAATCGCCTTTGTACGCGTACAAATGCTACGGTGACTCCGAGTACGTGAAAACGGCTATGCGTCGAGTCAGAGGCCCCGACTACGACGTGGACTCGGACCTGATGGCTCTCGAGGTATTCGCGAGGAAACGTCCCGGAGAAAAAAGTCTCCAAACGGACTGTCCCGCGATACGTGAAATCGTTGATTGTATAGAGTTATTTTTTAATTTACTTTCTTTTTTTTTTTTTGCTGCAGAGATACGTGTTCGAGTTCGATTGCATGATCGGCGACCACAGAAACCGCCTGCTCCGCAAGATCGTCGAAATTGGCTTGACACTCGTGGTGTTGCAGCAGACGTGCGGCGCGAGCGCGACGATCTTTCACGCAAAATCGGTTATCGGAGGATTTGGTCTGACCACAGAAGTGGCGGGCTACAGCGACGAACGCGTGTACTCCAACACGCAAATAATCGTTACGATAGTATCCGCTGTTCAGGTGAGCCGTTTTAAAAAAAAAAAAATTTGATCATATTTACTGTACCTACTATATAGGTTATATAGGAACCTACTCGTACACGTTTTATCCGTAAGGATGTGGAATCGTAAAATTGTTATAAAAACATTTTCCTGACGACAACCACGCGTAGGAGGGTATACCTAAGTTTTTTAATCACGAGACGGCTAACAAGTTAATAAAACTGAAGTTATTAAGTTCTGCCTGTCTTGGTGATATTAAACCCCTTAGCTACCCTATTCCTTGTGCCTATATCGCGTCACCGTACCACCATTCTGTGATATTAAGGCGCTTAGAGTCTCATATTATTATCTATACTTGAATCACTGCCTGAGAATATCTTTATAATATTAATAATATCTTGAACTATTTTTCCACTTATACAAATAAAAAAATTATCTTTATTTAAAATATATTTTAAGTAAATTATTTGGTAAGGTTTACTACGATATGCCTGTAGGCATTTCGATTTTTTTTTTTGTAGTGAACTTAGTTACCATATTTTCAGAAACTAGCTAGGTGCCGGTAGTGTTTTAATTGCCTCTTTCGATATATGCTTAGTCAAATTGACGAAAACGTGTTATCAATCCACTTGATTAATGAGAGACCCAATACCAATTTGAATGGTTCTCAATTAAGGAAAATGAGTCGGTAACAACTCGTTCTCCGGGTTTCCCACAGGTCTTGTTGTGCCTCGCCACAGTTGAGCTGGTTGAGTTTTTGGGCCGTAAGTTCATGTTAATTGCGTCGGCCATTGCTATGGGCACGTGTCTGGCGTTGCTGATGCTATACCAATCAATCTATCCAACCACAGACATCTGCACTTCTCCAATCGATTCGAACGAGTGGCACAAATACGTGCCCATCATACTGGTGTGCATGTACCTGTGCTCATATTCAATTGGATGGGGACCTGTCGTCCCGCTGGTCTATGCGGAAGTGGTTTATTTCGACGTGAGTGTCTATAAAATATTCTCATCAAATTCGAACTTTAAATATATTAATAGTACATAATGTTCGAATTCGGCTGGATTGGATGACAGACCAATACAGCGTCTACATTTGTCCTTTATATGGCGCCTTTTTGTGAGACTGTCTCACAGTTATTTTAATTTACAGTCTACGGAGTAGACAATAATAATAACATCTTTAGCTACGTCATTTGGTTGGTGGGTGCAGACAGAGCTTTTTAACATTTACACCGTCTAAGTTTTTGAGAGCGGTCTGTGCGACATGACTTCGCGTGAGATCGACCAAACATTTGACACGGCCCCAGCCGTTATTGTGTAACACTCTGAGGATTTACTTAAACTTCATATAAATATTTTTTGTATGAACTGTTGTACATACTTAAACTATTTTATACTTTTAAGGTTGCAGTTAAATTTTTTTCACCGAATTAAAAAAAGTAGTAATATTAATTACACCGAAAAATATTTAATAATACTCTTTTAGTTTATCAATATAAAATATAGCAAACTGAACTATATCAAATGTCATTGTAAATGTGTCACACAGAAATGGTTTTCGAGTTTGATTTACGCCAGTGGCCAGTTTGTCTTGTTCCTGGTGGCTTACACATTTTTTGACGCCAACGCTCTGTTGAGCTTCAACAAGTACGTTCTGTGCACGTATATCACTTCGTGTGCCATCAGTATAGTGTACGTTTATTTCTGCATGCCGGAGACTCGAGCGTTGCCCCTGGACCGGGTGCTGGAACGTCATATGACAGACAATAATTGTGTCGACACCGGAAATTAATGATTATATTATTATTGTTTAGTTATAATATTTTATTACATTATTGTACTGCTGTAATCGTGTACGTTGTTTATTCGTTGTTTACCATTTAACTGTATATCATTATTGTTTTCTGTCAAAAAATACACAACATCGCCGTCCACCATAACATAATACATAGAGTTTTGTGTAAGTGAACAGTGACAAATGTTTGATTTGTGTGTGCGTCTTGTCACCTCTATTGCAAGTTGCAACATCGGCTTGTTACCGCCGCCGGTCAAACGGGGTTGAAACGGTTGAAACCTATGTGTATATAGGGGCGGGTGCCAAATCCCCGTAGATTCTCTCTCGTTCTGTCGGCCGGATGGATCTCATTCGTCACGTAATGTCTCCTCATCATCCCTCCCTTCTCACCTCGAGCCCTTCCTAAGCCGCACGTGGCAATAGCTCTCGACAACCCGTTTTAACCATTTCGCTGATGAGTAATAGTTTAAACGCTTACCACATGACCGACGGATACTGATGAGTAATGACACCTCGGCGTGTCAATCAAAAATCGTTTTCTGGTACACGGTGAAATTCAAATACCTGAACGAGACGAGTGAAGTAGTATGTAATATCGTTACGTGTGATTTACGTCATCGTCGTCGTTGTTATTATCTCTATTATTATTGGTATACGGTTGTATGCTGGGTAACAATAATGTTCAGTCCAAAATGGAGGCCTATTTCACTTTATGTTGCTTTGTATAAAATAGTATACTGTGCTCCGAATTATTTATTTACACGTTTATCTACAACATAAACCGCCCAAAGCCCAATATTTTTATAGTTTACATTATAAACGCGACACCACAGATTCCAGTAGCGGCTGTACGTATAGCTGCTGTACTAACGGCTCACCGCCGTTTGCAGGAGAATAAAAAAAAAAAACAATAATATTATAATCATATTTTATAATACACTCACGGGTACGGGATAGCTTTTGTTTATTCGATATATCGACACGACGTCAGTGCATAGTTTACCTGTAACAAGCCAAAACAAAAATCGACATAAGTATACGTGTATCGCGCACATTTGTGTAATAATATATATTGTATACTGTACATAATAATATGCCAGCATTACAAGACTGCGCGGAGTACATACTATATATATATATATATATATTATGTACACAATGTATTGGTATATATAATATATTGTAACGTATACACACATGTCGGGTACAACTAATTTAAACTACTTTTGTCGCATGTGCGTGCGTGTATCATTAGATCGTATTCATGCATTAGTAACGGCTTGTTAAGCCTGTTCCATACATTGTATGTTAAATAAAAGGCAACAAGTCTTGACGTCTTCCACTAGGATACACAGAGCTAATTATATACGATGGAGCACCGACGGCCGTTCATGCGATTCGTGGCGCGATCTCTGCCGCTTCCGGAGTCGGGAGAGATAATCGAATTCCTAAGTATTACTTTGACGCCAAAAATCCCCACACCCCTCCGAAACTCGTCACCGTCGACGACGTCCTGTACGTATATTGATATTAACTTACGTACTATTATACCAGGTAGCTAATACATATTGTATTGAAATTAAAGCAAAGTATAATTCATCGATATTTTGAAACGGTATTAATAAATACTAATAGTTATATTAATTATTAGTAATAAATAGCACATCACTAATATTATGACTCCCATATTGTGTACCACCATAATGGCGGCTACATGTGCCCAGTGCAATACGCGATCTGTTGTCGAACATTAGAGATGGACTTGGTCTTGTACGCGAATATAACAATAATATATAATGGTATACATATTACAATACATAATATAGCATTCACATAATATATAGTTCGTTATCGGTCATCGCGACATGTACAAGTGGGTGTATACGTATGGGCAAACAACAATATTATAATATATAAAGGATATCGAACGTTGCACTTTTGTTGTCTCTTACATGCACGACAAAGTTGTGACCTAAAAAATCGTTAGGGTTTAAATACAATAATACAATTTCACGTTCATTTCCTTCGTTTACATATCATCATTGGTGATATTATCGTCCTGTCAGTTTCCGTTTCTGCAAACTCACCGCGCAAATCACGGTATAATAATTCTGGCTATACTGCTAAACGATAACACGAGAGATAATATAATGGATCTACACTGAAAGTTAGTTTGGTGAATTATGTGTATTATATAGATCATCGTCTGGTGTTCAGACGAAAAGTTTTCTTAACGACGCAAACAGACTTGCCCGGTGACTGTGGTAATGGTGCACGGTGGCAAGAAGGCATTAAGAAAAAGAAGAATTTCAAAATTCCGTAAATAAAATCCACTTGAAACTAAGTAAATAATTTATTGTGGTAATTTTTGAATAATATCCGAAATGGCGTCGAAAAAGAATTGAATTGCAAATACCACAAGCAGTGCTAATACAATAATAACACTCCGGGGGCATTGGCTTTTGCGTAACGGTCCGCAGAGGTGGTCTTCTGCAGAACGATACAGAAGTGTCAGGAAAAAACGGTTTATAATAACTTTTAATATGAAACGATTGAATCACAAATAGATCTAGGCTACATACTATACAAATAATAACAATAATTCAAGCTTATAACAATCTCTTCTCTCCGCCGCGTTCCGATAACGTTCATTCGAATTCGTGTATAAAAACGATATTGCAGGTAAGTACACAACTATACTTCCATCTGCAACCGGCTGAATTGTACATCGCACACATATAATATGATATAATATAATACTGTAGTCTGTAATACATAAATTATAATCGGTTCTATAAAATCCACAGTGAGATGTAGGTATTATTATATGCAGCGTAGTGCTTGCCATAATAAAGTTCGCTGAAAACAATAAAACCGTGGGCCGTGCAGAGTCGACTATACAGTCGAAATAAAATTGTAAGTGGCGACTATAGAGTAGGATAAAAATCAAATTATGAGCACGGGTAGATTATAGGTATGTACGGGTAAATTCTTGAGAAAAACAATTTTAACTAACACGATTGATTACGACAACGTCCGAAATGACATAATAAGTCGTATTATTTTAACTCTTCCTCTGCGCCTTCACAATTCTCATTTGACTATAGCGACAACGGCACTGGGTAATTAGATCACTGGAGAAAGTCGTCCGTGATGTAATCGCTTTGAAAAGATATTTTTTTTTTTATGAATTGTTTCGATTTATAGGTACGTTTAGAATATAAAGCACTACCGAAAACGAATACATAACATGACGTGTATTATGCATTCGAGTTTGAGAAGATTCAGGAAATAGCAACAACAGCGACAACAGCTGTCGGTGGCATGTTGCGGAGAAGTGAAGTAAATCAAACGAGAATTATTCGGGTCATTCGGACTGTATGATTTATCTATTATGTTTAAATTCAATTCCACCTTTCACAATCGACCCAGTTTCGTTAGTTTTATTAGTCCATTATCCGATTGTATTATATGTTTTTTTTCTCGTAATAATTACTGTAGAAAAGCCCAAACGAGAAGTGTTCACCGGCCAAGTCGAGCTAATGGATAAATATACAAGGGGGGGGGGGGTATTTATCATTTGTTCACTCCTCAACAAAAGCAAATGCAAAGCACAGACATACGAAGGCTTCGTGCAATCAAGCACGTATCGTATACACAACGAAAAGGCTTAAAAAGCGCTACTTCAGGAGCAAATAGGATCAAGACGGTCCGTGCAATATATCGGCTATCGAATAATAACTATAAAGTCGCTTATATGCGACACCGTGGGTACAGGACTAAGCACGGAGATGGAGTTTTTTTCGTCCGCTTGGCACAAGGTCGTGAGTATCATTAAAATCTCCACCCATCGAGTCCGCGGTCGCTGCAGCATAGCGCTGCGGTCTTCTTATAACAACTCAACGCTCCCGGTGCCCATAAACAGAATAAACAATCGGACAATTCAATACGCGCGATGTCGTTACGTAATAATATCATAACGAACACTACTTGTCTCTCCTCCCGTAATAGTAGAGAGGAATGCCATCAGTGAGTTCACATTATACATTAATACATTAATATAATAATATATATATACATAGATGTATGTAGAATACAACACACACACACACACACAAATACGATAAAAATTCTTGTAATCTTGTATCGGGTTTCAGTAGAAAGTTGCACGTCGACCTATTTTCATATAGATACACACATAATATTATATATGTTATTATGTGTAGGTATAAAAGTTTCAAAAAAAAAAAAAAAAGCAGACATTTTGTTAAATGGATACACGATAGCTTACAAAAATAATATTGTCAACTATTATTGATGATATAGGTACCTAGGCATTATGGGAAAACAATAATCTATCAGTACAATTTAAAATTAAATAATAGCATTATAATATTATCATATTGTGTATATAAAAATACTGAGTCGTTTTTTACATACGTTCGGAATAATTGATTGGCGCGTTCGGAAGTTCCTTCGCGACGATAACCGCAGCTTAAATTGATTTTATGACCGTCCGAAGAAGAGTTCGTTCGTAATAGAACGCGTTATGCACGGCCGTATCAATCCGCGTTCAAATAAGCTGTTGAGCAACAGTAATGTCAGTGATTTACGATAATGCGATAAAAAAAACAATGAGATTCGGTCATATTATATTAATTATGCACAGAATATAAAGTAAAGATGTACAATTATGTAATAATATGTATCGTAGCCGCCGCCACATGTATATTTTTGGCATCGCGAGAGAGACCAAAGATTATTAACAAATGTCAGTCGGTATACCGCGTACGTGGTTATTAAGGATCGGTAAAGATTTTCAGGTTACAATAATGTAACCGTTTACTATTATTTTTATTATTGTGTGCTCGACTATAGTTTGACACTTTCGAGTCCCCGTGGCGCCGTGGAAATCCTTCAGAGGTCGTAGGGCGTCTATTTAATTTATTTATATTCGATTTGTCCGTATTATTGTTGTAACGATGAAACGTCCATTTATTTTTTTTTGGTAAAACGACAAATCAGAATTAACCTTCTGTGTTTGAATGCAACAAAAATATATTATATAATATGAGTGTAATTTATAAATACATATGAATGTATATTATTATTTATAGTAATTACCAAAAACGACGGACACGATAAATCCATTATGGCTTATTAATATTTCAGTATAACATTATGTGATTGATCAGCTACACTGACCGCATTAAGTCATCATCACACATCGTAGTATTATAATATTATTATTACACGTTTCTATTTACAACCCGTTTTAAAGTGAACGAAATGTCTGAAATACATGTATTCTACATTTTTATAACAACGAAAAGTAGCGCGTGAACGACATGTCCACAATAATAATATTATACCTCAATTAAAACGTATATAATATGATTTTTATTACACTGACATAATTGTATTAATGATGAATTCCAGGTTACAGTGTTGGAGAGAAACGCGGCAATAAAAAATATGAATTAATATAAAAATGCATGTATTTTAAATGGATTTTATAATATAAACACACTATAAAATAGTATGTGTATTATGTGTGTTACATTTCAAAAGTAATTTGAAATATAAATCAATTTGTAGTTGTAATTTTCAATGTTCTCTGCTCTAAATCCAGTTAAACGATTGGATTATTTCGAGAAAAATCGTTAACGTCCAATATTTCACGGAATTGTTGTCTTAGGTACCGTACCAAGTCATTTGAAACCACCGTGATTGTTTATTTTTTTTTGAGAAATACAAACATTCATTACATTAGGCATGGCACAGGAAAATGAAATATTTAATTGTAATTAAAAATAAATTATACTGAGAGTGAATAGTAACTAAATGAGTGAATGACGTTTCTAGGTCGCCGTGGGATTTCCATAAAAAGTCGGTTAACGAACACAATGAACGTCAAACAGCAAAACGGAAGTTGTCTCATACATTCTAATTAAAACAATTTATTATTATATAATCATTGTTTGTCTTATAGAAAACTCAAAAGAAACCCCTCGCCCACCCACCCATTATCATCTTTTACATTCGCTTACGCCATCTTTGCAACTTAATTTTGACGTTATTATATAATATTACCGCGGGTTCCATCCATATATCACTCCGATGTGCCGAAAGGTCTGTTAAACATGGGTTTATACTTTGTACTTATATATATTGTTAATTTTTATGAAATTTTATCAGGACGGGTAACCAATTGTATGTTTAACTTTTTACCCATGCAATTGAAAATGTTGTCGAACAGGGAATATATTTGTGAACTACAGACGGAGTGGTGGGGGGATCGCTACCTCCCCCTCATCGCTACGCCCTTGAATACAATAGAGGACATAATACGCTTTTGAGATCGAACAGGATTTAACAGCCAAATATTGTGCTGTATATAACATATTATAATATTATTATGTCAAACAGACACTTCATGTGATATTTTTCTGCAGTTTGATCGTAGGTAGCTGCGACGACGGCATAGCCGCGGTAAGTGGTAACTGGTGAGAAGGTTGTAGATATGGGTACATAACATAGGGCTGCCCGCGACCCACATAACGGTCGGTTGTTTTTTTTCCACATCTCTTCTTTTAAAACCTTCTTTTGGGACGCACATATATTATAATACCACGTTCGCACATGTTCGCGCATAGACGATCATTAATTATTAAATGTATCCAATGGAAAATTATGGAGAGAAAGAACCGTCGAAAGGGAGACGGGCGAACCGTCTGAAGAGGGAATGCATATATAATAGTATGCACGGCACTTCAATCATCGCATAAAAGGACGGCGTCGCGAAGGGGGCGAAAGAAAAAAGCAAAAATCAATATTGCCCCGAGAACCCTCGTAGTCGCGCAACGGCTATGATATCGTGTGTATTTTCTTTTTTTTCGTTTTTGACGATTAATTTATCTTTATTAAAAATGAAATACTTGAGCAGGAATAGATAGATAGTGCACATCACAGACATGATAATATATTAAAAGAAAATACTATAATGATGGATCCGACGTCGCGGCTGTTACGGAGGTCACGATATTATTTCCGTTTTGATCATCAACATTCGGGAAGAGGTGGGGTTGGGGAGCTTTGCACCTAAACCATGGTATAAACGTTTAAGAAAAACCGTATGAAACATTTCTTTTTTTCAAATAAATAAATAAGTAATAATTATTAATTATTATTACTTTGCTGCGGCGGCTAGATAGCGTTGTCCGTTTTGCCGTGGCCCGTTGTATTGATCGTTCTTTAATAAGCACTTAGAAACGACGACGACGCCTGTGTGTGTGTGTGTGTGTGTGTGTGTGTGTGTGTGTGTGTGTGTGTGTGTGTGTGAGTGTGTATATGTTTTTAACCTAATTACTTTAAAAATTATCTCGTCGAATGCAAATTGTATTATTAGTGTGCAACATGGAACGAATTTTAATTACGACGACGGTCGTGTAGTAACCTCGTTCGATAAACGAGTAAGAAGCACGAGCAAACGATTGCAAAAAATCCCCCCAAGTATAAACCTATATAGCATCATATTATAATATAGGTATAATATGTATACATTATACATATGATATTACAATGGTTTTAATATTATAAATTGCTGTGGTGTAGTTGCAATATTGTTTTATCGTCTTCGACGGAATAACGTAATAGCATATTACAAAGAGTATTTACTATTTATATTTTAAAATTTTATGCACACGACAAAATGGTATTAATTATTATTTATACCACAATCGAACATCGTGGATTCATATTCATGGCGCGATAAATAGGTGATACACAATTAGAAAATTGCTCGGGATATTTTTCAAACAGATAAAGCTTCGTGGCCGATAATAGAATAAAAGTATTAATATGATATCATACTATATACTCGCATTGTTTGTTATAAACTTACAGCTTAAAATGTCATTGGAAATCGTCGAGTTATTAATTATTTCACTCGACACAAGTATACGTTTATAATATGTACAGGTTTACTACGGTTAGTGACTATGATATAACAGATTGTTAGTTGTTATACTATATAATTACAGAAATTGTGTTGGTCGTAAACCTATCGAAATCGTGGATCTATCTGATGACAGCCTGCACTGGATGATGCATGCAGTGTTGCAGTTCAAAACATCACGTGGAAGCGCGAAAGGGGTGAATGGGCTATGTACAGACGACGATTGCCTCCGGGACCGCCTAGGAATCACAAAAACCACCCGACCTTTGCGAAAAACTTTTGATGTGTAAAGTATGTATTTATTATTGAGTTGGGAAAAAAATTCGCATTGGCAAAAGTAATTACGGTGTACAAAACTTTAATATAAAAGCTACAACTTGAAGAATTTATTCGTTATTAAACATTAAAACTTTGCTACTAACATTAATCTAAAGGGAAACTTTTCATTTCGCAACGGGTGGATGTGGGAGAGTGTGGAGAGTATGGTGATGAGGAGCGAACGGGTGGAGCGGGCAGAGTGCGTGTGGGGAGCAGTGCGCGGAGCTTTTGGCCCCGGACGTAAAGTTTAAACTTAAACTATCAAAACTTGCACCGTAAATTTCGTCCTCACCGTGGCAGCTTTTAATAGAATGAGATTTGGAAAAGACGTGTAACACGATTTTCTGAGAAATAACTCTTCGCGGCGCGAGACGTACACTGCCCCCCCCCCCCACCACACACACACACACACACACATGTTTCTCAACAAACAGCCGACCACCCCTAATTTGTAGGGTAGTCCGTCGACTTTCAGCCAATTCCAATGGCATACATTATAATATTATAATATATTGTTTTTACACCCAACAAAAAAAACAAAATGATTTCGACAGACGGAGGGTAGTACTTTATCAAAGGTGCAGCGTTTAAAGGTTAAACTCGTCCGCGGTAAATATTGACGGCCACTGTACATTATATATAAGTTTTATATACTTCCTACCATTCACGTACATCCGATTGGTCAAGTAAAGGGAGGGATTTTTTTCATTTTTTTTTTTCTTGTTCCCTTTTGTATTTTTCGAGGAGCGGTTAAAGACTTGTAACCAATAATAAACATTTAATATATATTACGCACACACGCAATCGTAATATTGTATATTATTATAACCACACGTACCTATATAGTCCGAAGACACCCGTTATAGAATTATCAAATTAAAACTGTATAATACAACTACCAACGTTCTGGTAAGACAACAAAACGTATAGATTCGTACAAATAATTATTATTTAGGTATTTAATATACACCGTATTGTACTGTTATTATGCATATTTTGATTTTATGTCGTGCGTGATAATAATACGCGAGAGGGTGAGGACGATGTCAATGTTTAATTAAAATGTTTCCGTTTGTCGTTGGCTTTGTAACACACACACACATAATATTGTATTTCGTGCGTTATATACCGAAAACGTGAAAGGCTTTTCATCAGGGACGACTGCAGACGAGACGCGTGCAGCGGTGTTGTCGCCTGACTGAAATAACTTTCCATTGTTTGTAAAATGCGGAGTGGGCGGGGGTGGAGGACCGTAGTCGGAGGGGGTGAGAAACACTGTGATTCGTGGGGGGGGGGGGGTGGTAGCG